TCACAACGTAGATATTTTCCTTTTGCATAGTCGGAAACAGACACTTGGTGCGAAACAAACTTAAAACAGTGGTAATAATCCAGATTAACAAAATTGCTAATCCTCACACCGAATATTCTTAATAGGCTAAGTTCAAACTGACAATTCTAAAACTGTAGAACTAAATTGAAAATCAAATAGATTGGCACCTAGATCTCATCATTTTTCTGTTGAAATCGCTAGATGTAACTCTGTAAGGTTCCATTCTAATAATTTCTATGAACGATATAACCTTCTATTCTAATAATTTCTATGAACGATATAACCTTCCATTCTAATAATTTCTATGAACGATATAACCTTCCATTCTAATAATTTCTATGAACGATATAACCTTCCATTCTAATAATTTCTTCTCTTGCACTTCTCGCTTGTTGAACACTCTTTCTACTTCATGCTTTACATTATAAAACACGATTTTCAAAAATTTAAATATAACGTCACTCCCAATATTCGTTTGTTTTTAAAACTTGTTCTTTGATTGTCCTTTCTGCTAAGTAACACGTTTTATCAGTTTCTTTCACTGTATTTCTTAGGAACTCATGCCTCATAGTGGCTTTAACGCCCTGATTGGGGGAAATGGTTAAAAACAGAGATCGTTAATTTGGTTTCAATTTTCGTTAATTGAAACTTCTCTTGATGCTCGATATAGAGATTTGCTGTTGTTGAGCAAATTTATATGGCCTTTTCGTTATATGGCCTCTTCGTTATATGACCATTTTGTTATAGCTTCAACATAAAAGAGCAATCTTATTGAAATATCAGCCAATAATGCATTCTTAATATAAAAAACACCAATTTAAAAAATGTCGTATGATTCTTACTAATTAATGCAATCCATTATGCTTCTTATTAATATTTCCCTTTTAAAGGATCGCTATTTAACCTAAAGATAAAAACAGAAACTATTGTGGGATCAGCAAATTGTCATGCATAATCCATTGATTAGATCAAGTCATTTATTTTATTAGTGCCTGATTGGCAGTCCATTTCATCGTATGGACCCGGCTATAAAGATTAAACCAAAATGATTTCACCAAAGACAACAATTACAAAAAGCCAAATATCTATAACTATATTGTAGAGTAATTAACTCTATGATGCAGCCTATTATAATTAGAGTCAGCATGTTGAGAAAAGCAGTTCACACATCTACTGTAGGTTAGTTTGGATTGCGTTTAAATTTTAATTGTGTGCGGTGGTTGAAGGAAGATCTCATTCAGCTGTTAATGATAGAGGTCGCTAAAAGTGAAGGCACCCTCGAGTCAATTATTCTTCATTGTGGTGGGCCTGACAACAGAAAATTGAAAAGAAGCCGCTCTGCTTATTTAACGATAATGAGATTACAATCTTGAAGGAGAGCATTTCAGTAGTATCTGTTGTCGCTCAATTAGGAAAGACAGATTTTGCTTTTTTATAAAGAGTTCTGTATTGTTTGGTGTCAGTGTTTACCTCCAAAGAAGCTTAAGACTCTTGAAAGATTCCCAGAACTTGTGACCTCTGTGGAATATCTATTAATGTCCTTGATAAAGTGACCATGACGCACATCAATGAATAGATTTTATTGCCTACCATAGAGTAACGAATAGCACGTATATCTCTGTCCTTTTCACTGGTGTAGCGAGTTCGTTCGAAACAAGTTACCATCTATTTTGGTCTGGTGTCAGGTTTAATTACACTTAGTAGAAACATTTCTAAGTTGGTGAGCGTAAACATATATACACAGTGGGTGCCTCCTGAAGGCTCACTTGCCATTAACTGCAAGTCTATTGCTCATTTCATACTTATCTGTTGTATTGCCATACAAAGCTAATTTTAGTAAAATATCTACATATATTTAAGAGTTCATCACACACGTCTGGCTGGTCACGGATTCACATAAAAAGTTTTTCACTGACAGAAAAGTATTAATGTATTAGTCATGCAAAAAACAATTTTAGTGCTCACAAAACTGTCTAGATGTGAGCACAATCAAAACGTTTCTCCCATTGATTAATGTTCTCATATTTTTATGTGAATAACGTACACATATACATGTTTGATCGCTGAAATAAGTATTTGCTTTCAGGGTCTGTTGTCGGTGTTCGACTCTAGATAAAAGTCAGAGCTTCGAATTTTAATTTTCAAAGATGCCAGGTACAAGCTCTCCTTGTTTTCCTGTTAAATACGATCTTCAAAACTTGAAATGCATCTTCTGTCGCCATCTTCTGCCTTTTCAAATCCTCTTCGTTTATTCTCCTTTCTCTCAATCATAGAAATTCTTTCTCAGTTTCTAGGAAGACATATTTAAAGATATATTTGTTGGAAATATATCATGGAAGAGCGATGAAATTTGGTCTTTCCACCGTTGAAAAGTAAGAAGATTTGTGTCCTGGTAAAATAAACGTATCTCTGCTTTACAACATTTCCGTGTCTGTGTGTAATACTTTTTATCTTTACCGGGAAAAATATTTTAGTAAATTATCCATCATGTTCCTAAAGCTTACTAACAAATGCAGTGATATGAGAGAAATAGGAATATTAGGATTTGAATTTAGAATTCATATTCTTGGCAATGGCAGCAGGTAGGGTAACGGCTAATGGTTCGGAAAGTGGTATCGGCGCGTCGAGTTCAAATTGTATGCTAGTCTGTTACGTTCAGTTTTGAAATAATGCCTTTCTTGTTTAATCTTCCTCCAGCTATGGGTTAAATAGCAGAGTAGATTAGGCTTTCTAGCCTTGGGTAGTAACCAATCTAAGAAAACATTTCAAACCATAGAGAAAGCAATGAGAAAACACTACACTATATTTCTCAAGAAATGCATATTCGTTCACAGATAAGAAAGGAAAGTATCTGTTGAAAGACATGATCATATACGCCCTGAAGGACCATAGCATCATATATATATATATATATATATATATATATATATATATAAAATATATATATATATATTATATAAAATATATATATATAATCCGTATGGGTAAACCTAAGGAGGATAAAATCCAGAGCAAATAATTTAAATAAAAACAGACTACTTTAAGGTTCCATGTAATAAATGATTTCACCACAGCCCTTTTAAAGGACTGCGGATCATCAGACTTTACTTCCAATCAAAAAATGAAAAGAAAATTTACACATTTTTGACGGGCCGTATTAAACATATGTAAATTAACGAAGTGAGGAAATGAGAGGGGAGAGAGAAGACATGAGTGAGTTAGCAGATATTGACACATTTAAACGGTTATATATATATATATATATATATATATATATTTGTATCTGTATGTGCAAATTTTTGTATGTTACTTTTTGCTCTAATAGGGTTATTTCCATTGTGATATTTAGCTACCCCCCACGAGGGCTACACATGGCACAAGGCTGGGTTTAACGTGGGATTTCCGAACTCGTAGGCTAGGACAAAAATATTCCCTCTTTGAACCCGCATAAACGGGTTCACGGGCAGTCAATCACCCCAAACGAGACTCTGCCCTTCGGCGGAGCCTCGTCCGGGTTCCTCTCCGCCCGAAAGCAGAGTTAGCCTGTTACTTAGCCCGGAGCCAAGTTGGGTTATTTCCATTGTGTCGTAACCACGGATAGCAGTGATTTTTATAATAATGCTGGGATTTTCAAAGCCATTTACGAAGCCGGAAGTTAAAAATATTTAAAGACACGCGTGAAAAGCTTCTAATAATAGTTTTGTCTTAATTTCAGTTTTAATATTTCGCGTCATTTTTGACAGCATGTTTAAATTAGTTAATATTAATTATCAGTTAACCGGTTCTAGAACTGAACTTTTAACTTTATGGTTAATATTGATTTGCTGAAAGAAACTGATTTTTCCTACCATGATCATAAAAGTAACAACTAGCTCAACGTTTATACTGAAAACAATTCAAATAAATCGTCGATGGACTCAATTTTGCCTGAGAAACTTCATTGTCATTTGGATGAAATCTCAAAGTATTTCTTACCAAAAAGGAATATAATATGGAGATGAAGATTTTATAAATAATATCTTCTAATCCTGGGTATACAAAAGATGACAGCAATAATTACGTCGCGCAAATATTAACAAATCGTGTGTTGAATGCCCCCAATGAAGTCGGTCTTGTCTGGACAGAATTATCAAACAATATTTACACTATTCACAATTAAACTATTGTCTTCATATTTGTTATTATCACAGAGATTCGGCTGTTGTTCCCTTCGGCCTTCATTGGGTATTTGTCGATAGTATTGTTCATTTGCTGCTCGCCGTTTTCATTGAATCAAAATACACACTACCGCACCTAGGAATTGAACTTACAATTACTATGTCACAAAATTCACGAAGCAAGACTTTAATCCACTAGACTATTGTTCTGGAAGATCTAAGGTAGGGTCATTTCGAAATTGCTTGAAGATTACTTGGATCGACAAGTACCTGATGAAGGCCAGACGGCTAAACGATCGAAACACTGTTATAACAACATCAAAGATGAAGACAATAGTCTGTATGTAAATGAAAATAACTCCTCATCGAAAACATTCTGGGTCCAGATTCAAGAAAAGTGTCAAGAATGGATTAAATTTATTCTAAAACAGTGTATGTTCTACGTCAATGACATGGCAATGTAATTGCTAATTCAGAGTCAGTCCAAAGTGGTTGCTACTGTAAAAAATCTAAAACAGATTTCAAGTATAAAAAGGACGAAGAATATGAAAAAAAAAATTAAATTTTAAACTAGTTGCTCAAGTAACTGTAACAGAATTTATTAAACGTCTCCATCAAAGTTGCCATTTACTCTAATACACATATACAGTGGCAGGAGAAATTCTAACGAAAAATAAAACATTTATAAGAGTTATATTTAAAGCCAGTCCCATTTGAATCCTCTATACGTAGTCTAAGTTTCAACCTTTTTTTCCCGATCGTTGCCAACCAATTTTACTTTTATTCCAGTATTTTTCACCCTTTGCTGTTGCCGTTTTCTCGGCTATATGACGTTGAAACACTGCTTCTCGTACGATCAGCGAAGTTAAGCATCTTTGAGCCTGGTCAGTACCTAGATGGGTAACCGCTTGAGAATACCCGATGCTGTAAGCTTAGATGTGCGGTTGGTATAAGGGATAACGGGTTGGAATTCAAAATCGGAGAGCCGAGTTCCAATTCTACTTGAGTTTGCCACATTCACTTACGAGCAAATACACTTGGAAAAAGTTTGAATCCACCTCTTCTCACCACCATTATGGGTTATTTAGTAGATCTTTTATTAATAAATCTTTATTATATAAAACAAATCTTATAATCTAAATATATTTTCTGGCTTTAAATAACCTGAAAAAGCCTCAAAATCAAATCAAACAATCACCAGCTTTTTGTCACGTCAAATATTTTAACAGTTGGGACAATTTAATGACTAACTACTTATTTTACCATTTTCTCTTAAATTTAGTTCACTACTTATATATTAGGCATTCAAAATAAGAAGAGTATTATTAAATTTTGGGAATTAATGTAAGTGTCACTTACAAAAGATGGTTTCTTTCTTCCAGTTCCATACACCAACATACAGAAAGACGCGCACTAACGCTAAAACACAAATGCAAGCAGACGGCTCAGTGGGAAGAGAAATAGAATGTTAAAAGTATGGACACTTTAACAAAGATTTAGTTTAGTTTAATTGCGTCTTAAAAAGATTTTTGACACGCTATATATGTATATCAGCAAATTTATACACGTATTATAGATCGACTTAAAAAAAGAATAAACGTTTTCACATAAGATTTGTGTATTGTAAAATTTATTTTATTTAAATCTTAAGATCCAGTTAAACTGAAAGACAGATCTAATTGACATCCGGTGACATTTTTTTAAAATCTTCATACTTAGAAGACGTCTCTGTTTCTCAGCTTGGAGTTGAGTTTAGGGAGCCGTTTCATTAAATATTTGGCAATTTGCTCGATCTTTACTGGTTGATCTACACCCATGTCCTTGTGTCAATCATATTTCAAGTTAGTAAACTCTTTCAAATTTACTCTCTCTCTCTCTCTCTCTCTCACACACACACACACACACACACATATATATATATATATATATATATATATATATATATATATATATATATATAGTGATTTTCTAACCGTAGTTTAGATGTGCCATAAAGTTGAGGGTATGGGGCATCCAGTGATCAATCGAACAAGTTTCACTTTTATTAAAACTTTGTCAGGGATTGAAAGAAAATGGTATGTTTTCTCTCAAACTCTGATAAACTTTTAGTAAAAGTGAAATATGCTAGATCGATATACATTGTCTATTTGTTCTCTAATAAATATATATATGTATGTGTGTGTATCCTTACCTTGACGATATTCATATATATATATATATATATATATATATATATATATATATATGGATTGACGATTGCGTTTAGCACGAAACAGACTGTAGCCTGTGGTTGTTGACTTCAATGGTCATTTTATATTTATATACGCTCTATCCATGATATTAATCACTTTAAACTATATATATATATATATATATATATATATATATGATTTTTACTCAGTATATACAACAATAAGGAAGAATGAATATCGATAGATGAGATTTAAAAGCTAGAATTATTTGAATATAGCGAAATGGAAGAATTGGCAAGAAAATAAAAGATTGAATATTTAGACAACAATCTGCAATAAATGAAATGTTGAAAATTATTTGCTTGTCTAGCAGCTGAAATCGTTGCAAATTTTCCGCCAATGCTCGCGCTTAAACCCAGTTACAAAGTCATTAAGTTGCACGCCGCTTTTAATTTGAATGCTTCTAGCAGGTCTTCGTCACTTTGATGATGGGCCCAACAAAGGTCTCTTTCCCACATTTACTCACATTTAACCTTGCTTAGTAGGTGTGTTGGAAGATTGAAAAAAGAACAAAAAAAAAAAACAAACAAAAAAACCCCAAAAAACGTCGATTAAAATACATGTTCAGGTATTTGTTCTCTCTGATGCTCACCCTATGGTTTTCGGGTAGAAATAGCCTATAGAGGATCCTCCTCTCTTACACGTAACCGACTGCCAATCACGTCGGCATCTCTGTTTTTAAATATGCAAAACCTTTGACCCCTGGCTTTATACTGAGTTGAACAAGGGAACATGTTATGGCTAAGTGTCAAGAGAAGTAGAGTAATTCATAGTCAAGCAGAGCTTTCCCACACTAAAATAATTTCAAGGCCTGCAATTTGTCACCTTTTATTAATATTTTGTCTGGTTGCCTGGTGTGCAATGGATACCATACAAAACCTTTGGCTGTAAGTGACACACTCGATAAAACTCTATTATTACTCACGCAGCAGTGTAAATATTCATCCATGTTCACGTACGGAAATATTTACAGAAGAAATTTAAGCCTTACTTTTTTACTTATTAAATTGTTAAATTATTTCACCCCAAGCAAGGCAATAAAGCCACTAAGACGCAAAGGATTAATGAGTGTGAAAGAATCTAAGAAAAAGAAAAAAAATCATTATTAAGGATGGAGAGCAATAAAAGAACAGAAAGTAAGAAGACAGAAGATAAAGATCGACATTGTATTTAAAATTTTGAATATCAAACTTGACAAGGAAGCAAGAAACTGTAAGAGAGTTCCACAAGCGAGAAGTGCGAGAAAATAAACTGTTAGAATAGAACTTAAGGTTTTATCTAGCCAATCTAGTACGGCCACCAATCTAGTTCTGCGCTTAAATTCATAAAGTCTATGTACCATATCAATTAAATATACTCTTATACAAATATTCTTCTGCATATAGTTATTAAAACTGAAAAATTCCTTGCTTCTCACATAATAAGCTCATTTATTCCCTACATTCATTGATAGAAGTACAGCAAGTCTATTCATCTGAGAGGAAATTGGTCAACAGAATTCACCACCATAGAGAAGATTCAATTTTATATTATATTCCAGCACTGTTTTCTTTATTTTTAATGGCATTTTCGATATCTTAACACCTTGCTTCGATTCTGAAAAATAACTTTTGCTATTCTTACGTGCCTTCGTATTTAACACTTTACATCTTCTGCTAGTTACTAAAAAGTGAGTTACATTTCCTTACCGCTTCATTTTGACATTTCGGTTACGTAACTCATGTCGTCGTTTGTACATTGTTTTGCAGACAATCATATATTCTCTCATATTACAGTTAATAGTTCGCTCTTTCTTCTTTTCATCAACTATTTTATATAATAGAACAATAAAAAAAGCAAACTTTCAATATTCCTTCTGAATCTGATATTCTTAAGGTTACGTCAACCAATGATAAATTTTCGTCGGCCCTATCATTCTCTTCCAACAATTGTGTTGGACAGATTAAATAAAACCAGTGATAAAACAAACTTGCTGTAACTCATTTCTATGTTTTTATATTCATTTCACACGTTCTTTATCAATATGCAAGCGGTTTGCTCCAAGTACAGAATATTTGAATACATTTGCTTTGAAGATCAAAATAATTACTTGAAGTTTGCAATCATCCACATTTCGTTTCTTAGTTACGAACATTGATTGACTGAAGTTCTATATTTTTCCTTTCTATTCTCTTTGATAATATTATCATATATATATATATATATATATATATATATATATATATATATATATATATATATATATATATATATATAAGTGTGTGTGTGTGTGTGTGTGTGTGTGTTTTCATTTTGGCCTCAGATTTTAGTCATTCTTAAGTGTATCTCTTCTGTTGTCAGGGATGTGCTTATTTTCGACATTCATTCTTGTGTTTAGTTCTTTTTTTACCCTCTTTTTTTTTATCCAAGTTTTATACATTCTGTTAGAGAGCGCACTTTCTGTCCTAATATTTTCTTTATCGTTTCCTGCAGTCATGTTACAGTTATGTTCTTCATCATTTCGATATCTGCACATTACTTTTAGCTTACTGGTACTTATTTTTAATGGTTTTAGTTAATTCCATATACAACTTTCTCTTGCCTAACAACTTCCATATAACACTTTATACTTAAGATCATAACCGTTTTCTCAGGTCAATGGTTAAAAACGTCTTCGTGCGAATTAAGCCTGGATCCTAGCGTGGTCCATCCCTCTTCGAACCTCATGAACTGGCGCTACAATATCACAATCAAAGATCTGTAGCAAATAGCAGAAACCACAACACTTGAGGACTTCGAATACCACCAACAACTAAAATGGATAGTATATATTAATCGAATAGAAGATAAAGGCATAACCAAGATGCTGAATTTACACCCTCTACTCTAACCAAAAGGTTAGGAAGAAAAATCCCATCAGTACTGGAAACAGTGATAACAGTTAGTGGACTTGAGAAACCTATTTTTCTGAAAAACATTTTAAGCGAAAGCAATAACTGCTCGGTCAATGAATGTCGAATGTTTCCTTATAAAGAAATGGGTAGTATTACTATTGTCATATATTCTGTGTCATTTCTTGACATTATCAGTTGTCTCTTTATGAGCAGACTGAGAAGTCCACCTCAAATGTCATAAATTTATGGATGGCAACCTAAGAATATTTAGCTCCATCTTTCTGAATAACAGAGGCTACAACATGCTGGATCCGTTGTGCGCGTATATATATATATATATATATATATATATATATATATATATATATATATATATGTGTGTGTGTGTGTGTGTGTGCAAATATATAGAAAAATAGGAAAGAAACGTTAGGTAACTAATTCGAAGTTCTTTAGTATTTTGTTTTTCTTTAAAAAAAAAAACAGTGCTCAATACAAAAGTAGAATTATTTTTTTTTTAAATACGATTCCTTCGCTACATAAGAGTTCTCATCTTTCAAAAACAGGAGCCAAAAACTTCAATATAATTATTAAATTTAAATTGAATTAAAGTATCAAGCTTTGTTTCATCCTCAAGCGAAATTTTTGGGATTCCAAAATATTATCACTTAACGGATCTGGCTGGTATATATATATATATATATATATATATATATATATATATATATATATATATAAAAAAAAAAAAAGAACAGTAAGATATATAATCCGGTGTTCTTATAGATATTTTATTTTTACAAAATAGTGCT